ATCTAATAGGGTCAAAATATGATAGACGCAACAATTCGGACCATCTAACGCCAGTTTCTTTGACGAAGCGCTTTCTAGCAGCGTCTGAGTTGCATCTTCGCCAACCTAATGCGTTTTGCCGGTGCTCATTCGAATCTCGAGCAGAATACCCTACATCATCCATTCCAGCAAAATTATGCTGCCCATTTTCATAATTTGCTTTTTTCTCACACCTGTGACATGAAACTAAGGCAGAAACATGACCGCAAATTTTTCTTGCAGCGGGAATGTCATATGATACTAAGATTAAAGCGCCACGAACTCTCTTTCCATTTTCGCATTCATAAGTACGATTTAGTGTTAATCCAGCCCAGAGTGTTTCCAATTCGTTAACTATTGGTGCTAAATAGTGGTTCACTTTATGTAGGCTGACCTCCTTTGGCCCAGGTAAAATGCCGAGAGTCAATAAATTTTCGCGTCTAAATCGGATATCGCATGGCAAATTGCATATAGCAGCGTATATGATACCAATACTATAAATGGTACTATTATATGGCTGAAACTAATCAAGATTCAGCATCAAGCCAAGATGAGAATCGGCCACTTCGCTTCTAAAAAAATTTGGCGAATCTTCATTGTCCGATTCTTTAAAATTCTTCCACACTTGCCCATCATATATATCGGTCAAAATATTATCAAAATTTGACCGATTAGCCCAATGTCTGAGATAATTTTCAAACCCAGGCCGACAAAACATAGTGGCAAGTTGTTGATTGATTCCAGCAAACGGATACATTAAATTAGGTCGTATTATTGTTTGATTTGTCAATGCGCTAATTTTTTCAGACAATGCCGTATTGCAAAGATGTGATCTGCGAACTAAAGAATTGGGAAATTCTATGTGTTGACATTTCATTATAGCAGGATTGTCCTCTTGTTTGAAATCTACCACTTCCTCTTTTTTATACAATTTGTGACATTTCGGACAAGGTACAAAACTATGAAATTGGTCGTTTAATCCAAGCTTCTTTCTTGTTAAGTAAAGCGAATCTGGGAAATCATTAAAATCTTCACTACTGAATTTGCACAGGGCCAATTTCATAAATTTTATTAGAGTCTCAGTAGCTGTCTCTGCGATATTGAATCTTGTTCGAAAGTTCATTATACAAAGTAAAATCCATAAAAATCGATCATAATTCGATTCTAAATATGATGGGTTTTGAAATGGTTCATAACTAGGTGGTGAATAGTCTTCAAAAATTCCAGAAATTCCAGAAATTGGATCATTATCTGATTCACTGCATATAGACAATGTATCACTGTAGATATCTTCCTCTGTAGTATATTCGGATGATGATGAATCTTCTGGATCTTCTGAAATTTCCGGACGATTTGTATACTTTCTTGCACGTTGTCGAGGTAAGAAGTTAAATTTGACATCTTGATGTTCATCATCAACATCATCTTGATTACTGTTATCTGATTCTTCCGATTCTTTTCTAATAGATTCGTCAATCATTCGTCCAGCTGAAGCGGATATTGATGTTTCACCTATTTCAAGTTGACGAACTTGAGATGAAATTGTACCTTGCGAATCTTGGTATTCTTGATGTCTAGAATCGTGAATTTCTTTTGTGCGAGAATCCACCAAGTTGCCATCACAATCAGGATAATTACAAACTACTAGTTTTCTTTTATTACTTGTTGGTCTAGCAGAAGATACTATTTCTTCGTTTATTATACCAGAAATTGATCTATTTCTACGAGTAGAAGATGGCTGATTTGAAGGTGATTCTTCATCATCAAGATCTTCAAGTATACTAGAGACTGACCTTTTTCTGCTCATTTGTTTAGTATTTGAATAAGTTTAATAAGTTTGG